TTTGATCCAAATAAGATTTGGATCAGCAACTCCTAATTGGATTAGGAGCTGATCCTTTGGGGTTACAAAGAAGGAGGGAGCGGCAACCGTTAGAGAAGAGATACTCACATCCTGTTCAGAGCTGAAATCACAGAAGAAAGATTTCTGCAATCCCTACAAAAATCTTTCTTGCCGCCTCCTTCCTGTAGCCGCCAGACATTCAGTTCGATCTCCAACTCTGTGGGAGAAGTCAAGATTCGATCTTGACATCAGTTCTTTGTGAAAGAATTGATTGGAAGTTGTGCTCACGTGCCATCCTGTTGTTTCTTGCGAAGGACGGAGTTCTTGGAGAAGAAAACTGTTGATTCTGCTCCATCCTACACTGAGCCATCTTCAGTGGGAACAGTCTTTGGATCCTTCCTTGGGCGTGAACACCTTCGTTGGGAGATATTATTTCTCCGTATCAGGTATAATCCTCTCCTACTCTTTTTGGTTCAGATCTGGTTCAGTTTATGGTTCAAGATTGATCCTTGAAAATATGATTTTCTAAATAGGGAATTCGATTCCTAGTTGAAGGGAGAGAAAAATTTTTGAAATCCGCCCCTTTATTCCGCAAGATTTGGGCATCCATACGATGGATCTCTCATCCCTTCAGGGAGCTCACTACTCTTCCTCCCGGTAAGCATGTTGTGGGTTGTAAATGGGTGTATACTACTAAATACTTGCCGGATGGTAGTGTGGAGCGACTGAAGGCCAGACTTGTTGCTAAAGGTTATTCATAGTTGTATGGGGTGGACTATATGGAGACCTTCTCTCCACTGGCTAAGATTGGCTATGTCTGTGTCTTAATTTCCCTGGCCGTTATGTATGACTGGCCCGTATTTCAACTTGACATTAAAAATGCCTTCCTTCATGGTGACCTTATGGAGGAGGTATATATGGAGCAACCACCTGGGTTTGTTGYTCARGGRGAGGATGGTAAGGTGTGCAGATTGAAAAAGGCAATTTATGGGTTGAAACAATCGCCTTGTGCTTGGTTTGGGAAATTTAGTGAAGTGGTGAAAAATTTTGGAACGAAACAATGTCAGGTTGACCACTCAGTGTTCAACTATGATTCAGAAGCAGGAAAGATTTTATTAGTGGTCTATGTGGATGATATTGTTATAATTGGCAGTGACAAATTGGGGATTAATAAACTAAAGGTCTTTCTGCAAAACCATTTTCAAACAAAAGACCTTGGGACGTTGAAGTATTTCTTGGGTATAGAAGTTGTCAGATCAAAACAAGGTGTAAATTTGTGTCAACGAAAATATGTTCTTGATCTGTTGGATGAAACAAGACTGTTAGGTGCAAAACCGGTTGAAACTCCCATGGAGCCAAATGCTAAGTTGAGAAGTGGTACAGGGGAAATATTTGATGATCCTAGAAGATACAGACGGTTAGTGGGGAAGCTGAACTATTTGACTATCACAAGACCAGACATCTCCTTTGCAGTCAGTGTGGTGAGCCAATTTATGCAGAACCCTCGGATACCTCACTGGGATGCAGTTCTTAGAATTATAAGGTACCTGAAGGGAGCTCCAGGCCGTGGGTTATTGTACAAACCAAGAGGAAGACTTGAG